CGCCGTTACGAAATCATAGACGCCATAAAACAAAAATTAATAACTAACAATTTAGAGTTAAATTCTTTACGAATATTATATAAGAATGTAGCCTGAAGTTCCAGCTTTGCAATGAAATTATAAAAGTTCATAAATTAATTACAGAAATTGAGTAATTAATAATTTTTCACTGCCGGAGCCATTCTATTCTTTTCTATCCCCTCTCTGTCCTCGTCTACCACGTGACCAGCTCGTCGACGACCTCCTTGCCTATTCTATATTCCTATCACTTTTCCGAGCAAATGATCCAAAACTATAGATGGCGCTGATCGCCGGCGGTAAAACTTTGATTCGAACTAGATACTAGAAATCAATTCGGCGGTAGAAAATTAATAAATTTCCAAGTTTTTACAATTAATTCATAAACATTTATGGTTGCACAGCAAAGTTGGAATTATGGGCAACATTCTTATAGGATGTTTAATTTAATAATTAATACTTACATGAACGATAGATTTTGTATTCCCTGTAGTAAATAAGATTGCTATAGAAAAGTATTTTTCTTACATAATATTCTTATTATTTCGTAATAAATATATACTAGCATAAGAAAGCATAAAAAATAAATTTTTTTATTAAGAAATTTTATTTATAATTTTGTATTTACAATGTTTTCATAGATGAAAAATGAATACACAATAAAAAATATATTAAAAAACTACGGACGGGATTCGAACCCCGGTTATTCAGTTTAACACTTCTCGATCGTTGCTGTTACGCTACAAATTAACTTAAATACATCGTAAATAAATTCAGGAAATAGGAAGACTTTAATCGTAAATATTTTAAAAACTATTGAGTAGTTGCCGCTATAATGATATATTTTCTTAAAGTGCATGACGATATCTACAAACCTGCAAAGTTTCAGCTAAATCGGTGATCCGAAGGACTTGCACTCTTCTTGTAAGTCGATATATTGTAAATTTTATGTGTAGTTAATGATGAATAATTTATTTGAAGAAAAGAAGAATATAGTACATGAAATAAAATTTTTAACTCGGAAAGATATTACTACTTATAAACAATATCATTTGATATAAAAATTGTTAAATAGTTAATTTAATTTTTAAACAGGATTAGGTTATTATGAAATATATTCCAGGTTGTATATGAATGATCATTTTTGTGAGATTTATTTTGGCTGACATGCGATACAGAGAATATGGAATGAATATTAATTACTAATATACATCATCTTAGAACGATTGTTTAATATTTGGAAATTTGAATACCGACTCATCTAACTATACATTCGCATTTCTAATTTTAACATTTTTTAACTAATATGTGTTTCACACTTGTATCATGTGAATTATACATATATCTATTATATATAACCTCTATGAGATCGACGTGTCTCATTACAGATATATCGGTGCAGATATATTATATTGATACAATAAATTCATTTGCTAATTTTCATTGATAATTAATACATTATTTCAAACATATATACATTGTTTTCGAAATAATATTTATTGTTGGTAGAAGAAATACTAATTTTTCAATGTCTAAAATTACATTACTTTTAAAGAAATGTCCTGTATCACTTCATTACGACTATCTTTGTTAATATTTCCATTTGGCGTCACTTTTTTGATACGGATATCATTCTGTATAAGAAACATTTCTGTATTTATTTACTGCCCTAATATGTAACTGGAAAATTTAATGCAATATACGAAATTTAATTTTTTGCATTTTGTATCGAGTATTAACACCAGGATTCAGAATATCGTACATTAAATTCTAATGCTAACATCAAATCACGTCCGATGATTTATATATGGTATAGAATAATTGTCATATACCATTATAATTAGCAATAATTTATTATTAATAATGAAATTGATATCATCTACCAATTTCTAGGTTAAATTGAATCTAGACACGATCAATTTTGATTAATGTATTTAAGGTCAAGAATATTAATGAAATTCGTCAACCTTTATCTTTACTTTCCATCAAATCCTCATCTAACTTTTCATGAACAGATTCGACATGATTTACGTCCACTTCAATGACAAAAATAGATGATGGAGGTGTTTCCTCAATATGATCCACTTCTGCCGGAAGAAGTGGCATTAAAGGTTTATGAATCTGTAGTTCCATTGAAGTAACGTGAGAAGACGATTTTGAGGCATTTGAATCGACTTTAGTACTCCTGGAATTGTCACTTTCGTTTCGCTGAAGTTCGTTACTATACTGACTCGTGTTATCAATCTCCTGTTTTTCACTGTGTGACGAACTTGATACATTACCGGCCTCTTTTTCTTGAATTGAAACATTTCGAGATACAGAGAACGATCCTTTCGATCTAACGTCAGTTACCTGCAGTTAAAGTTCGGTCGATAAGATAAGATATATTTCTGATAAGTAAGGGGTTTTCGCGATAAAATGGCAATCTTATTTATCAAAACTTTAGAAAATACTCGACTGTAACTATGAAATATTGATTGCAAAGATCACTAGACAGTAGATATTTGAAATCAAATATAATTTTTTTCGTTAATATCTATTTGGAAACACCACAGTTTAATCTCGGTCGATAATGTCATTGAAAATCGATTAAATATTACCTGACGTAGTAAATTCGATCTCGGTCCTCTTGTAGATGGCAAACCTCCGATCTGCCTCTGTAACTGTCTCTGGGAACCAACGAAAGAACCACGATCATGAATCACGCTAATTGCACTGGATTTTACATCATTTTGAGGAAATAGAAGATTCCACATGAAGTTCTTAAGCGCTGCACGGAAATCCTTTAGATGGTAAGCGTAGATTAATGGGTTGCCAGCCGAGTTCAAGTGCGACAGGATTATACAAAAGTTCATCAGAACATCGTGCACCCTGCACTTTTGACAGAACGCCATTATACAATTGATTGTGTAGAGTGGAAACCAACAGATGATGAAGAAAATTACGATGCGTGATAGATTCTGCGTCGCTTTCACTTCACGCTTCCTAGCTGCACCAAGTAAACGTAGCATAGTTCCAGTTGTTTGATTTCCACTTCGGCGGCCCGGATTCATTGTTACAATCTGTTGTAACTGCGATTATACCATGTTATTCAGCATTATAATAAATAACATAATTAAAGGAAAAAAATTTTATTCAAATCTCACATGAGAATTCACTATATTGAATGTAGTGAATTTAGTTCAATGACATACCAAACACAGATGAATAATGCATCTGTGAAGTAACTAGAACGTGAAACTTTAATAAGATTATGTAAATGTCATTAAAATTTTTATTTTTAATCGACATATTATACTATCATTGCAAATTTGTATCATTGCAAAGAAATGTATTTAATAAAAAATTAAATTTTCAATTTAAGGTATTTACGTGAAATGACGATGTATAGATATTTGATTAATTGAAGAAGGCAAATTTTGAGGGTTAGTAAACAAGATTCGATCTTCGTTAATTCATTGTCGTGTTTACGTCCACATACACGCACTTATATATATACATACATATTCTATGCCCGTATATTTACAGTAGAAGTGTCTGACCTGCTTTACAACCACTCGGTATATATGGGCGTAAAAGGCTGCAATTAATAGCGCGGGAAAGATGATCGTAGCGAAGTACAGGAACACCAAGTAATCGTAATCCATCACCTCAGTGAAGATGCATTTCTCGTTGGATTTCTTGCCCGCGTTCCACCCTAAAAGAGGCAAGAACCCAACCAATGTGCCGGCTATCCAACACACGCAAATTATACCTGCAAGAACAGAACCATACTTTAAATCATATCTTCGACGTCATCGTTTCAATTATTCCAGACAAATGATCAATATATGATCTAGTATAACAGAACGTAAAAACGTAAGGAAACTATAAAGTATAAACAAACATAACCATATTGTTAATACACGTTCTTTTCTAAGTTAAACTTTTAAGTCAACTTTTTTTTTTTGATAAGTGTAATAATACAATTTTTTTTTTTTAGAGAAACGTCGCTAAAAATATTTGAAGTATGGGTGACTTCAATTTTTACTGAAAAATAACTTTGTGAAAATACGATATGCTTCGAGAGGGTCATTTTGGACAAAAGATAAAACAATTTATGAAAGTTTCGGAGGAAAAGAGTGAAAAGTCGGTCAAAGGAGCCGATGATAGAAGTGCACGTGAACGCTATCGATTAGAGAGCACGGCAATAAACGCACCTTTTTCACTCGGAAGAGAAGTGATACCAGTCAGTGGGCTCGTAATTAAAATCACTCGTACCATAAACAGACGAAACGCTTAAATTAATCATGTCTAAACTTCCCAGCAGTAAAATGGGAAACGTCTAACAGGGCTGTTATGTAATTTTTTTCAACTGTCTTTGATTTTCAAATGAAAAAGTAAGGAAAAGTAAGTTTCAGTAACATTGTTTAATAAACGTCATTGTTAATTTTTTTATTTTATTATGCTCTGCTATCTGATATTTTTTAGGGAATTTTTGAAGATTTCAAGAGAGAAATTTGTAAATCCCAGAAGTCTTTCGGTTTTTTTGTTTCTCTGTTACTCTTTCTATGAATATATTTCCTTTTCCTCGGAAGCAGAAAAACACGACTTCCATCAATTTCATCAAAAAGAGAAGAAAATCCATTGGGAAATTGAACGAATGGATATCATCAGAGTATTTCATACTTTATACTCTATCTTGACAAGATCAAAATGCATCGAAATGTTTTTAATTGCGAACTAATTATGTAATTATTACGAAAGTTGTTGGTTGCGGGAGGGGGGGGGGGGCAATATATTTGAGAAAATATGTTTTATTTCGAAAAGTATTTCCTTTTCGGAGAAAAATTTTTTTCTTATTTATCGTAAATTACTAATTAAGATTATATTAGGATACTTATGCAACGTGATTACAGGAAAAATGAAGTCTACGAAGAACGCCAGTATTGATAAAGACATTCATTAAGTAGGATTCATTAATTACAAGTAAAAAATCAATGATTAACATTAATTAATATCGAATAAAAATTTTCAGATACACACACGATGAACTTCTGTTATATACGTCATTAGAGTATCTAATGCATCGAGTGCACCACCTGTTGCCGTCTGAAGTGCATTCCCTTGCATTTCACCATTTCAATGTTGAAAAGTAACAAAACTTTGGAAAAAACAACTTTTTAATGTAGAATTAAAGATGGTTCACACATACTTTCTATAACCTAGTTGCTAACATGAAATGAGAGATTGTAATAATGGCTTCTGAGAGTATATCTGTACAATATTGTCTCTGACATGAGGTGATGTCCTGTATTCTGATATACCGAAACGTGATACGCATTCGTTATCATATGTGTATATTTAGGATAAAGAAGTATTATTACATTGCAAAATCTAAAAGACGAATTAGCTACATTGGATTAAAGGAATATAAGTTAACCAAGAATTTCTTTTAAACTATTATTTAATTAATTGCAAAAACAGTTTCAATCATGAAGAAAACATTTCCTGCAACATGCATTAAAATCTTCCAACTGTTAGCCACGCAAACAGATGAGCCATTTCTGTATTTCGCATAAATTGGAATACTCAACGACGATGGGAAACAACGCACGAGATACGCATGAAACAGTCAAGTAACAGGTGTTTTCGAACAAACAATTCCGTAAAATATAATTACGTAGCCCGTTTCAGTGTTGTTTTATCGCAGCTCGATTATGCGTGGCATGCAGAACGCTTCTAGGAAGAAATGATTTTAATTGGATCGTCGAATTATCCAACAACACCGACACGGGAAACAATTACTCAATTTGTTGTGCGATTCTCCGAACTTTTCGCAGTCTTGCTGAATTATCGACTCGTACTACTTGCGCGTCGGCGATTTTATTGACACTAGCATTGTTTTCTTCCGTTTATCGTCGCGAATTGTTTTTATTTATCGTTTTGAACGCTTAATAGCGCTTGTTTCATACTTCCAAAAACGGACAAATTTTGTTCGTACTACTTCATTTAGTAAATTAAATTACGAATCCTGTAGACTTAAGGAATTTCTCGACTATGTATTAAACAAACTATTATTTGAAGTTATTCTGAATAATAACTTGTTACTTAAATATAATAATAAATTTAGAATTTATTAGAATTAAGACTATTTAAAAACTAATCCAATTAGATATTAAGTGTCATAATTGTTAAATCATCTGTCAGCTCAACTTCATTGTCCTTATTATAACTTACCTATGGCAGTTTTAGTGCGTACGGTCCGCGAGTATCCCATGGGATGAAGTATCGCCCAGTAACGATCTACGGACACCGCCACCAGGCAGAAGATGCTGATCGTGCAAAGGACGATCAAGATAGAAACGGTGAACAGACAGGCGTGTAAATTCGTCGGCAAACCGATGCTAGCCAAAATGGCAAAAGGTATGGCGAATAACCCAACTAATAGATCAGCCGTTGCTAAGGAGATGATGTAATAATTGGTTCGTCGACGCAGTTTCCTCTCTTTGCTGAAGACAACGATCACCAGACCATTACCAAATACCGCACACACTGCCACTAAGATCTCGCAAACTGTGTATGGTAGATTGAGTTCAGAATGGGTCGACGCATTCACGGATGTTACGGTCAAATTATTGGCCAACTCGCTGGAATTTAATGGAAATTCCATCACGATGAACGCTGATACTGTAAATGCAAACGTCATCTATTTTCTGACGGATGAAGTCGGATAATTAGTTCACCGGTACCTTTATTAACAAAGTATTAAGACCATTGATCATTCTTTTATACGTTTGTGTAATCAGTATTCATTTCTTTCCTATCATAGGTTTATTTGAGCAACGAGGATGGTTAGAAATAGAAAACGTAAAGCATTGCGTGACCAATGGTTCTTCTAGAGTTTTTAATGGATCCCCTTAATTTCTCTATATAGAATTTCCATGATACACGGTTTGTCACGCGAACTTGATATCACGTCCTTGAATAGATCTTTAACTTTCTTCACGTGGAGGAAATATAAATCAAAAATAGCATTCTAACAAAACGAAAAGGACATCGGTCTTTGGAATCATCTGCTCTCTTCCTATTTTGAAGAACTTCTGAGGAATAACAATGGTTAAGTATCGTGTAATGACCACGTTATGCTCGATGGTAGCCAATCGATCTCATTTTCACAGAGAGACACCAGCACGTACAGAAAAACCGGAAGAAGGAAGCGTCGACGATTATTTGTATGGTTGTGCCTCGATGGTTAAGACATTTGTTCCACTTTTCACACAGCAAGCTTTATCTTTACTCTATCATTTAGCGATCTATATTAACTGGAAAAACAGCGTACAATTCTCTGATAAACTCAGAATGAAACGTGTGTAGTCTACGATTGTCAGAGCCAAGAGTAAATAAAAAATTATTATATTTTCGTGTTCTTCAAAATACCTGACTCAAATATCTAATGTAAGTGAACGTTATGTACCATACAGAATTTATAGTCTGTTCAACGAACTTTAAATACTCGTTATAAATCGTTTAGAAGTAATCACACTTCTCAACTGTATCTTCGAATAATTTAAGGTAATTATCACTGTGTAACTTCGCCAAGGATTAACGAATTGTCCACCGAGAAGCAGGATGACCAGAAATCACAGGTCGTAAGAGATCGAGTTCACTGAGTAGATGTTTCGAGTCCAGCCACGTTTTGGTCGCGCACTTTCGAAGCTTGTTACAAGCTACGATCTTCTTGCGCATATTCATCAGAGGATGATTTTACCTTCCTGAGATACGCGTGCCTTTGATCGTGTTTTCAAATGTATTCAGGTCAATGATTTCCCATCATAAACTCAAAAAGTATTTCTTCAATTTCGAATTCTTCTTTTATCGACTTTTCCATTAACTCCATTCTCTTTCGCAAAAGTCGATGAATTTTCTTTTCACTCGAACCGAAATCACGCGGAAAGAATGGATGCAATGGCTTCAATGATTCAATCGATTAGTTTCTTCTTAACTTTCTCCTTCGATGGTTAATCTAGCGTAAATAACGATTAAACCACATCCAATTTTACTTCTTTATTTCCTTTATATATCTAATTTTTTTCAGCATCCATATTTAACATTTAGTTCTGGAAACTAATTTACGGCGACGAAATTGCCAGTGCACCAGACTTGTAATCTACAACCAATAACGATCTCATTGAAAATTGAAGTGCGTAAGTTTTCAAACAAACTTTATATAGAATTTCTTTTTGAAATGACTTTTCTGTTTTCTAACATTAAATCGATGTAATATTGCAGGGTGTCCTTTACCGCCTGTCCCACAGTGGCGTAATTAAAAAATTGGCCGTCTTCGAGAAGAGAAACAGATTAAAGTTTTAATTTCACAGTAATGTAAAGACTTCCGGAAAGTTGAACGTTAATGAAGGAAGGATCTGCGTCAACTGTTTCGCTCACGATTACCGCGCGACGCAATTTCGAAGCTGCGATTGTTTTGGAGCAGCTGATGGTGAAATTATCAGGTGGCTAACAACGCGATGAAAACTATCGAAGTTACAACTGAGAAGTTTCCTTGATATCCGTTTCGGAATACTGAAGCATGCAGCAAACGTCATTTGTAAATAAGCTTTTAAGTCATTTCGGTATTTTTAGTATTTTCGTTTTAATTTGTAACTAGAAGTTTATTTCTGATGTTTGAACTAAAATACTCCCTAAGAAATATATTAAAGAGTAGAGACACAGTTTAGGATGTCTAGGATTAAGTAAGAAGAAATAAAAGTCGTCATAAATAGCTGTAGACGAAATCGTATTTTAATATCATCATGTACGCTGATACTCTATTCTAAGCTTTTACGCCTATCTTTATTTATAGAGGCTTAGCATATCACTAGCCCATCATCATTATAGCTTTTATAGTATTTCAACTAAAATTTTCTTGGTATATTATTTAAAGATTTAGAACACAATCGTTGCATTTTATTCTCGTAACGCAAATAAACACTTTATTCAAATTTCAAACGAATATTTAAATTTCTCGAAAACGTTTCATTGATTTCAATTAATCGAATGTTCGGAGAAAAATCGATTCTACTTCGTTCAATAACCAATCAGAGCGATGCAAATCTTTATCGAACCAATCAACGTCAATCAATAACACCGCGCGCTTTTTTTTCCAAGCAGTCACAAATCGATTAGCAAACGACGCGTATCGTGTGTTATCGCGATTTCTCCAAAATTCCGAATTAAATAATAAATTAGACGATCGTGAATAGAACGCACCCAGGAAACACGTCCGCCTTCTCAACCCTGTAGCGCGTAACTGAGTTCCTCTTCGTGACACACGGGGACACAGCGTCGGTAGAGGTGGAATAGATGTGGTTATAGGTTATGGTGGTATTGGTAAACTAAAGAAGAAAAGCAGCAATGTTGTACATCAATACTTCACCTGAATGAATTCGGAAACACACCGATATGAACTTCTTTGAAAATAAAGATAATTTACATTTTACATTATAATGATTTTTATATTATAATCGATATTGCATTTTCGATCCTGTTAGAATTTGTAACTTACCTGTAACAATTATATACTGTGTTTGAAATTTAATAAACAGAACAAATGTAATTCTCGTGTACTTTATCCTTGATAAATTTTATTATCCTGTTTAACATTTTGTTCAATTGTTTTTCGGAAGTGTGACTAAAGTTATAATACTCAATTAGGTATACTCTGAGTTAGTAGCTGTTTCCTGCAACAACATTTCTATAAGAGCATCTTACGAGATTTGTAATTGGATAAGCGTACTGTGAGCGACGATTCAATGGCATGTCTGCATGTGTAAATGATAGAAATCGGTACGTATGAGGTGCACCACGTGCATGCGCGTGAAATAGTTGAACGCGAAGTTCGCTCCTTGGCGAGTATGTATGTAGTACAAATTAGTTTCCTCTCGACAAAATTAAGAGTTCCATTCCACCACTGGAACTCTTGGTGATATTTTACGAACTCTACAACACAGAAAAAGTTCGTTTTCCTTCTTCTTGTATTAACTCTTTTAACTCATCGAGTATCGTATAATGATTATTTCACTCTACAGGAATCTACGTATATTTTCTTACAAAATATGTGCTTAATGCTTGAAAATATGAGACAACGTTAGGGGACAATGTTTTCTTAATGGATCTTGATTATAGGAGGAGCGTGCAATAATGTTGAAACAAGTAACACCATTATCTCGATTATCGAATTACGAACATCAAATCATGTTATTTTACCTAATTAGATCAAATGATCTTCCAAATCCAATTTCACGTGTTTATTTAAATAAATCGATGACTTGTCCCTCTCGCACCTTTCGTCAGTATCATCTTACAAGGTGCTTCTCATCCTGAGAAATTCGAAAAGACAACTGGTCGTCTAATTAATTACGCGCATGCGTGACACGCGTAATATTGACCACGGAAATAGAAAACTCTACTTCTTCCCAACACAGTTATTTTTATCAATACGAATGTCGCTGGAATCTTTATTTTGTGTGAATCAGTAGATTTTACTGCCTGTTCCGTATCTCTTCATCAAGATGACACAAATGTGACTAAATTCAAGCAAATTAGAATTTTATAAATTTAATCCAACCGAACTGTTAATTGGAGAAATATCCATAGAGTATACAAAATATAGAAATAAACTATTTACTAGGTGATCTATTAATCAAATCAGATCGTCTTGCAAACAAGCGGGTATTTGTTATTCCGTTCGGCATTAGACAGGATCGGATTACTGTCAAGGCTAACCAGACAAATGGGTCTACGCATTTTTCGTTCTCCCTTTCGTGGAAGATGGCTATATCCAATGCCTATATGTGTATGTACGTAAGTTCGTTTCAAGTGAGAAATCGGGTTTCCTAGTAAGTTTCTAGGGATCCAATTTTATAGGAAAGTATATCTCACGCTATGATTGATCTCTCCTATATTTCATAATAACGTTCGAGAAACATATAACTTTTTCACGATATATGTGTACCTTTTCATCCTGTTTTAAATTATTGTTCTAATTATTGTAGCGCCGAGGGTTGAACCGACGTGAGAGAGCTGTAATAATTATAAAGTTGGAATAAAACTAACGAAGAATTTTAATTGCTGGAATAGCCTCAAGCATGTCTACGACCTTAGCCGGTTATTACATTGTTCTAATAGCTACCAATTACATAATTAATCCGATATGCAGCGAGAGCCTTTACCTTTCATGAATTTCATAGTTGCATATGAAGAAACCGGTGAATCTTCAAAAAGAAATATACAGTTCAATCGACGAAACACGTTCTCTCCTCCTTGGTGTAAAAAAATATAGGTGGGCGGAGGGTCATGGACACCTCAAGGTTATTCATGATATTCTTTCTGTGTGTCAATCAATATTCTTGTTCTACAAATTACAAGGATATGGCAATGTCTTCAACATAATAATATCTACGCATTAATTTTTATTAGGGTCTTAGAAAGCTAATAAAATATCAATGAAAAGCTTATATCGCTTAATAAGCCAATTATAGAGACGTAAAATATGGAATGATATATTATTAGTATGAAAAAGAAGGTCTAAAGAAAATGTACATAACAATTTAATAACATTGAATTTCGATTTCAATTCCATAAACCAGACGAAAATTATCCGCTACTACTTCTGCATACTTCAAGCTGATTAGACTAATGATTTATGGAACTATTTCTTGCACCAGCTGCCACTAAGTATAGGAAGTGAAAATAAGTGTAATTTCCAAATGGAACGAAAACTTAGCTTTTTAGTGTACAACTTACATTTCATCGCAAAATCATTTCCGTAATTAATGTTGGTTAGCAAATTTACGTTTCTTTCTGTGAAATAATACGACGAAAATATACATTAGCGACAGTAAATCATTCTTAATAATTGAAACATGATGTCGCTTTTGTAAGAAAAAAACACGATTTTATTATAAAAAAAATACCACATTGATTTAAAGATTTTAATGGAATAATAATTTAAAGAAAAAGTCATTCCAATAATCCTCGAACTTGGGAGCACGTTTTAATGAACCAGATTTCTTCAATTGAGCAACTGAAAATGATTAATTTCAACCAACACGTGCTCAACTACTTAAAGACACCTCCTTGAAACGAAGTAGTCTTAACGAATAGTGAACGAGTTCATCCTCAGTAATTCAAACGTGCTTATTGTATGTAACAGGAGCAGAACAAGTCATTTGACATCGCATAAAGGGATCCTTAATTGTGTCGCAAAACTGAATGAATCGTAGCTAGACGACAACGCTAAGAATGTAAGTTTGCATCAGTCTGAATCGAAAACGGGTCATGTTCATGTTACACGGGACTTGTAAACACACCCATGCCACTAAATATCTAACGACTTAATGCGACTAATGTGATTGGAAGTGGATGAGAAACTATAGAAGCCAGTGGCGCGAGCACGAATTTCCTGATCAGGTAATAAAATGTAAAAATCTGAAAAAAAAAAGAAATATTTTTTACAAATATTTTATATTTTCTAATTTCATCATTTCAGTAGCATATTTTATGATACAATTCTTTCTTTTTTTTATTGTTAGGTAACACCTAAAAATTCTTGTCTCATACAATTATACTGACTAATGAATAGTAAGAAGACTGGAAGCGTTTTGATAACTCACGAAATTACGATGGAATTGTAATTAAGTAGTTAACAAGGTTAAATTGGTTACGTTGTGCAGTACGCTGTATCATGGTTGTTTTATATGTATAGGTAAGGTAGTTAACTTCAAGTGGTAATTCAGGTGGTTTTCACGTAGGAAAATACAAAAAAAAGTTGCTAGAGTCAAGTGATGAGTAACAAGATCCAATTAAAAAAGGTAGTTTTTTCATATGGTCTAGTGTGGTGCAAGATTTATATAAAATGATACAATATATTAACAAAATAGAATTATTTCTAAAAAAATTAGCTAAAACTTTTTCAAATATTATGTTCTTATAAAGAAATATCGAAAAGAAAAGGGTCAATATGAAATGAGAAAATGTTATCAATTCTATCATTCGATTTTCTCCTATCTGTTCCTTTCATCTGGAACGTTCCTGCTGCAGTCCAATATCAATTTTCCGATTCACAATATCAACGTTAACGAACCCCGCCGTACTTACGTGAAACAATGTACGCTGTACACGACTGACAGAAATGATCGGTTATTTGTACGTGATATTGATTAAATAATAACCACTCTGACGATATTCATAGCAAGATTTGAAAAGCTAATTTGCTACACCGATGTTATGAATTTTATCAGTAACTTATATTGATTTTTATGAAATTTTAATCCGACAATTTTAAAGTATTAATTTTTTATTCAATTATAATATTCATACTTAAGGAAGGGACCAAAAAAAGGATGATTTACATATTTTAAAAAGTAATATATTTTTTAAATTAATTTTAAATTATGTTTAAATTTCAAACATTACAATTTGTATACAGATTCATACTTGGAATTATATAGAATATTATACAATGATCTGTGTTAACAGATCAGTTCATAGAGAATGTTGTAGTACTAGCTCTAAATGTGTTTCTATTCGATCTTGTCCATGGCTCTAACATTGCTCGTATTATGATATATACAAACCATATGGCAAAAGCAAATCCAAAGAACATAAAGACTCCATAACTGCAAATAAATCGATGTTATACTTTTGCTACTACCTTGTTACCAAAATAATCGTAACAGAGATTAAGCATGCCTCATACTTTGTAAACCAAGCAATAAATGTTCCAAGACTTATAGTTATGAGTAGACTATAATTAGCCAAAGGTCGTAAACTTAGTCGAGGCGAAATGCGTTCCTCGTATCCGCTGGAAAATCCATTCTGTGTTCGTTTTGGAAGCTTTACAACTTTTGTTGGTGGTTGTAATATCTGTCGGCAAATACTGCCAATAAAACCACGACGATGGTACACTTTAGCTATCTCGTATCGGTACTATTTAAAATACATTATATTTGTAAAAAGTTAAAAATTGTGAATGATATAAAGTAACAATTTTGTTTTAAAATATTATCAAATAAATATTTACTTTCACATTTATATATGTAGAAAGTTTATATAAATTTCTAACGAGGAATGCGCATTCGTTACTTCGAACTGGCTGTAATTCCGGATCTCCCATGTATTCAATATATTGACATGTTTGCCTATCTTTTTGAATAGGTACAAAAACACCTGGTTTACTTGTATCTAAACTAGAGTCCATCTAAAAAATTAATAAAGTTTAGCTTTTTTATTAATAAGATGTTAAACAAACAATTCATCTTATACCTGTGACTGATGACAAAAGGATGTCGAGAGAATGCTTTCATGATATTCTTGGTCAGCTTCAATAGTTACCTGAGGAATGTCTTCTACTTTAATCTGAAAATATTATGTTTAAACCAAAGCACACTGGATTCAAAATTTAAGAGCATTGGTTGCTTTACTTTACCTCAAAGATTTCGATTAATTGTTGCTGTGCATTCGCTAAATATATTGGAACACGGCGTCTTTCCTCTATACTAATATCATCTGAAGAATAATCTTCACCATTAAAAAACTCCCATACTGCTAACAGAAAGCGTCTGTTTTTTCTCTTCTTCTCCAATACATCAATTAAACTAGTCGCGGTTAAATGTGCTTGTTTAATTGTACTTAATAAAGACACAACCTGAAATAAGCATTTGTAAATTAGACATTTCGAGCATAGATTCCATATTTTACGTACCTGTGAAACAGTAGCCATAGAAAACATTAATACGTATTGATACGTCGGTCCTTCAAATTCTAAAATTTGTTGTCGTACAGTTGAAGTCCATTGATTTGAAGATACCCGACTTCTACTTAATCCTACATCGTCCATGTGACTCTCTATTTCACATATTATTTTCGCTAAATGTGGTTGTGAAAAAACCTATAAAATACAAACTTGATAAATACACATTAATTATACAACACAAAAATTAGGGAAATCTTAGCATACTTTTGTAACTCTGAATAGCATTAATGCATTCTTTGGAGCTACAAGATCTGTTCTCATAAATCGTGGAAGCAATTGTTGAAATATTGCCGTGTATGCTAATAAATTATGCGCAATGAAAGGCATCCATCTATATGCATCGTGTATTTTTCCTCTTTCTTCCTCTTCTGATTTACTACAAAAAAATAAAATACTTGTTAACAATAGCTATTAAAAATACTTGTTAACAGTATACATACCCTTCCTTGGTATATGTTATACCAGGAAAATATCTCCATGGTTGAATAAAGCTCAACCATGCTTCAAGAATTAATCTAAAGGAACTATCTAGAGGCCAATGATATATGGCTTTTCGAAGGAATGTGTAGATTTTGCCTTGAACAGAAGGCAAAATAATTCTGCAAATAAAATATTTCAAAATCTTTTATAGCATCACTATCTCTAATTGCTATTTAATTTTTTTCTTTCATTTATATACCGCTTAAGTTCATCCATTGCACTTTTATCACCTGTTGCGCTATTTGCAAATTCATGCAACGTTTTTATAAATGCCCGTACCAGGCGAATATGTTCTCCAGAATGGATGCTGTGCTGTAATTAAAATTATATGCAAATATATATATTTCACGAAAAAATTTCAACTACAAACTTACTCGGCGTGGAACAGATGCGGAATACGACGTACTTAATCGTGGATTTAATTGATCATCCTCTATATATTCTACCCAAAAATCGAGAAATACTTGAACCACAGTTTCACTCCTCCAAACTTGTGGCAAACATTGTTGTTGCGGCACACTCGATGTAAAATTTGGAGATCCTGATGATAATATCGACGTTCTCAATAGTCGTGGAGTTTGCAATCTGTAATAATTACTGATTTAAATTTTTTATTTGTTGTATTCAAAAGAAGTATAATTTTATTAGCATATTTATTCTTATTAATGTAATCATTGTTAACATACTGTTAGATACCTTTTAGATTCAGGAGTTTGTACTAATTTTCGTTGAGATGTTTTCCTAATGTATGGACCAATTATTGGTAAAACTGGAGAATTATCTCTAGGTAGAAAATGGTATAAATAACAATGTGCTAATTGAACATAAACAGTTTCCCAATTAACCCAGACATTCTCTTGGTGCTGAACTTGCAGCCATGGATTTGTCAGGTGAAATGCAAAGTGGAAGATATAATATTCAAAGGGATATGTATAATTGTTAAGGATTTGTTTCTTAAAAGTAAATAAAATATTTCATGGAATTATTAAGCCAAAACTGAAAAAAGGATACTCATATTTAAGGCAGATACACCACGTGTACCTTGGTCATCTCTAATTTTGTCTAGATAAAATGGTGGTGTTACTCCTTCTTCTAACAATGAACATATTTTTACCTAAAGTGAAAAAAACATGAAACTTAAATTTTATTCATTTTATAATTTTTTGTAATACATAGATCAGTTTTTACATACTGGCAAAAATGAAACTGGAAAGTTGTATTTCAAATAACAATCTGGCAATAATTTATAACATAGAGAAAAAACTGGTCCCTGTGGATTAAGGAAATTACAAAGTGTTTCATACTCCTGTGGATTTTTCTTAAAAGTGATGCTATGTAAACCCCAACCAATATTGTCAGTTATTCCAAATAATGAGTCTATTAATATTGAAAATACATGTTGCAATTCTGTTGTGCTTGATTCATCTATAAGCGTAGCTATCTCCTTGCATCTTTGCACCAATGGCATGTTTAAGTATCTCTGTAGTCTTATCTGTATATTAATTATATTAGCTAAATTAGATAGATATGTACATTATAGAATAAAATTATAAGCTTAAATTAAAAACTAATATAACTTTAAGAATGATGTATTATATACATAAAACTGACTTAGATATTATTAATATTATTTTACTTATGATGTACAATATATTCATTACATGCAGTTACATAAAAATAAAACATGTACAATATTTTACATATTAATTTATTTATAAAGAATGATACATCTTTAGTAATACAAAGCAAACAGTATTATTTTAATAAATAAGTTTCCTTTGAGTTACTTTAAACAAGCCGGTTCAAAATTTTAGGTTATGTATAGGTTATGCTTGAATGAAAAATTTTACAAAATAAACATTAGTAAAAATATAATGCACGTATATAATACCGTAGCAACGTCTGAGGATGCAGCCATATTCGTATTTATTTATTTTTGCGCGAATTATTAAAAATAACATTTAAAGAACGTTTGCTGATTATTTACGATTAATTCGCGTCATACACCGCCTACAGCGACTGTTAGACAGTATTTGTCACTATCAGAAATTATTTTCCTAGGGATTTCCTAAAATGCAAACTTTACTATTTAATTTTGGAACAAATATAACATACGAATAGACATAATAAAATAATACTCATTTTTTTCTTTAATATAAAATCTTTTTTATTTGCATTTTAATACAATCCTTTTTTGCATTCAATTAACAGTTCACCATTTGTATAGTGACTCATTCAACATTTGTACTATTGCATTGCAAATATCCACCAGATGATTAGCAATGCATTATCAGGTAACATAGTGGTACTTATTGTTTCTTCTGACTACACGAATAAATTCCAGGTTTGTAAGTCGGTAAAAATGGTACGTAATAAGTCCATTTCCATCTGTAAAAAATTGAAAAAACATTAATAAAAGACTTGAAATATATATATATTCTAAAATGATTCAAAAGAAAAACGCACCTTCGTAAAACATTCATGCCAAATGGAAAATCAAATGTATTAGATATATACTCTTGATCCTCTTTTTCATCTTTTTCCGCTTTTAATTCCATTTCTTTTGACCAAGCAATAAGACCACGTTCCTCAGGAGTTCCTTTACAAATGAATGAATCACTTTAACGTGTTCTCAAAAGAAATACATTATAATCTATACATTAAAATATTGTTTAAAATACAAATTGTACCTGGTATAATATTATCCAATAGGCATCCTACTACACCACCAACCAGGATAGTTGTACTGAGTAACACTGTAATTACACCGTCAGCTATTTCATTCCCTGTTTTTATTACGTCTGAGTGATTGATCATCCACTTTGATAAAACCTGATAATTCATGGAGACAGTTTAAGTCAATTCTCACAAATAAAAAATTTATCCTTGCATTGTTATCTTTAACTAGTTAAATTACTGTTTTAAGGAATTAAGTAATTAAATTGTATAATTCTTACATATCGATCGAAAGAATTCTGAATATTGCATTAAAAATTACTCTACCAGTGGAAAGAAAATGGAAAATCCAAGAATGTACAAGTTCCTCGCGGAATTTAAATTTATATATTGTAACGCAGAGAGACCTAAAACACCATATTATTTTGTTATATTTTCTACATCTTCTTTAATTTTAGTCTCAGCATAATTGTATTTGAGGAATATATTTTAACATACCAAAAGCGCTGATCATTCCAAACATTATGCAAAATATTCCACCGACTATGGGTTCGGGGATGATGATAAAAACAGCGCCAAATTTGCTAATCAATCCTTGAAGGATCATCAACCCACATGCCCACTGAATAACTCTGCGACTGCCGACTTTTGTAACGCCTGATAATATTTTGTTTAAACAGTTAATACAAAATGTCGTGCTTAAGTTTACGAACAGTTAAGAAACCAGACTCATATTCCTTAAGTTTCTTTTTTTCTGAGGAATATTGTGCGATTTACCAATAGTTCCAACATTTTCTCCAAACGTATTTGTACCATTTCCGCTACCCCAGAGGCCAGCTAACATCGTGCCAAGTCCCTCCATACCGATGCCTCGATTAATAGCATGAACTGGAGGAGGTGGAGCGCCTAAAAATGAAATTTCTTATAAATTTTAATGACGATAATCATTGTTTATAAATGATTATCTCAATTCCTTTATCATTTCAAGCAATATCATTGCAAAATTTGGACGATATTTACCGCACATTCTAGAAGTTGTGGGATAGTAACTGATGGATTCCACTGTGCATGCCAATACGCCGGCTAACATACCCAGTACACCAGATAAGGATACAGTCGGTGTACCCCACTGACCGGGATAAGGAACCCTAAACCACGGGGAATCATTGATAATTTTTAATTTACTATCTGCTCTGGCTGGATGACCAACTGGCAAGGCATCCGTCACAGTTAGAATTGCACAAATTATCCACATAACTATTATTGTCAGCAGCACCTAACATAAAAAAGATCGAGCTAGAAAATGATAAGAACTTAATTGAAGAAAAATGATATTATCCAGATAAGTTGCAAGTAAATAATAAATTAGTCAAAGGTTAATAAAATTGATATAATTTTTAATTTATTTATAATTACCGGAAATAGCTTAAATAATTCGAACCAGACGATCCGTATTCCTTCGCCCTTACGGTACATTATTATTGGAAATGGCACGTTAACAAGTATTTGAGAATACAATGTTAACATCAGTATCGTTCTGCGAAAAATCAGTACATAAGGGATTGCGAAAAACATGAAAATAAATTGATTAATTTAATAACTAAATTATTTAGACGGAACTAGTCGATTAAAACAAGCAAATATTCACGCTAATTTACATATTTTTGTATCATTTTCTTATAAAGCGAAATTACCCAGCTGCTATACCCCAATGTTGAGATGCAGCGTCAGCTGCGTTTTCAAAGAGGGATATTCCAACCAGAGAAACAGTTGGTACAATGGTCAATGGTGTAATAAATTTCAACAAATATCCAATAATACCTGTGTAAAAATTTATATTATACAACGAAGGTTTAACATTTAAAGAATTATTTAAGTGCGATTATAGTACCTCCAAATCCAACGATTACTTGAAACAAGGCGGATACAGCAATGGCTCCTGAAAGTTCCCTCATCCTGACTTGCCATAATTCTGTACGATTTTCGGCAGACATTTCATTCAGAATCTCTGGTGCTGGACACTTCCATTGTGGTAAATTTAATATCGCCAAAGTTGGAACCAAGAAGGAAATGGTTCCTCCTTGAACCAGGGGCAACCTATGACAAACAATGTAATGAATAGAAAATGTATAATTGCTTAAAAAATGAGTACCCGAATACTGGAATAGTGGAGTGAAAGAGTATTGGTATATTAAATTAATTGGTATATTGGATTAAGAATATTGAATTGCTACGATGTAAGAAATACCGAAACACTCGAATGCACTCAACACTCCTACGATATTGGAATATTAGATACTGCATCTCTTAATTGAATTCTGAAACAACGCAAGAACTAAGAATATTCATATGTACGTAACTTGTAATTAAGAATTTTTATAATAAATTTTTTAAAATTATTTGTTATTTCTTTTTTTATTCAAAATATTTTAATAATTCTAGAAATTTTTATAACATTCATTCAAGCTTGTGAGTTAAATTGAACAAAGATCCAATTACAAATTATGTATCATTTCTAGAGGAACGATCTTCTAGAATTATGAAACTATGCCATAAACTTAAGCCATAAAGTTTGAGGTAAAAAGCAAACGTTACTCCTTCTCGGAAGTTGTTGAGTCTCGTTAACGATCTGTAAATCTTATTAAACAAGAATACAAAAAAATTTCCATAGCGATAAAGATACAAAAATTAGCATTAAAACAAGCTGCAGACACGAGTTACCAAGCATGAAATATACATAATTATCGACCATAGCTGTTCATTGATATCCAGCCTTGATCTTCAAATTTATACACATACATAAACTACGTTTATATTTCCGATACTATAAATCGTATCTGATCATTGTGACTGCATGTACATACTCTTCACAATCACATAGTAATAACATTATCATGATATAATCATTGTTATAGCAATAACATTACTACCATTAGAATCTCATAAACCTCGTTATTTGCTGAATGACAAAGAGAAAGTTTTCAAAACACCTTTATGACTTAATACGTCTTTGTATTCGAAGTTTATCTACGGTAATAATACATGGAAAGAACGGTCCTCGAAGCTTATATACCCGCAACGAATTGCTCGAAAAACGTGTAATTGCTTTGCGGCTATAAAACCGATCTCGTGTCTTCTCTGGCGCCTATTACGTGTTACATATCAATTTAATGGTCTAGAACGATTCGCGGTCAGTTTTTCTTTTTTAACGCGAATCAAGTGCATGAAAGTGAGTTAAAGGAACTGCAATGAAGAATTAATCCTTTGCACTCGACGATTTTTTGGCTAACGAAGGGTAGTAATTCGAAGATTTTCTGCTACTAAGCTGACGATATGTTTTTGAGCAGTAAATAAGAAATAGTATAATAATTAACACGTAGAATTATTTAATTTCGATACCTCGCACACCGTTACATTAACTTAAATTTGATATATTAATTAATATCGATCTTCCAAATTTGATCAAATGGCGAAATGACTGAAGGGTATCCCTCGAGTGCAAAGAATTAATTTATTATCTCGTATTTATCGTTGATTTTATAACTATAAATTAAGTACGAATAATGGACGATTAGTATGGTTTTATAAATCATTAATTATCGATATAAAGAAACTATTGATTTACTCACCTGCACCCTACTGTGGTTTGGAAAAAGGTAACAAGTCCTGTAACGAAGATCATGGTAGAGATTATGTAACTCCTCGATGGATCATCTTCCGCCATGCAGAGTGCTGGCGTGAGGATGAAGGGGATCGAAACTATTGCGCCTATCATAGTCAAATAGTGCTAAAAAACGTGCAATTCGTTTTGTAAATAATGCCAGTGAGAGAAAATGAGAAATTAAGAAGCTTTGGATCGGTTTCTACGAACCAAATTAATTATCTAAGGATTAAGTGGACTCGAAGCTTATTATGTAAATGATCATTAACATGGATGGAGACAAATAATTACCTTATCGAGGTAAATCGTATAGACAGAGGAATATTTTCGACCTGTCCATGTTGCACAGGCTTTTGGAATGTGTTTATCTTTGACACTCAAATCAAATCAGTACTTCTAATTTGTGTCAATATGCTTTTATATCTTTGAAAAGTATGTTACACGATAGTATTTCGACAAGAAACAAATTTGTAATTTCCGCGTCAACAAGGTCGGATATTACAATATCGAGTAATCTTAACGATATTTAGTAACAAAGCGAAGTGACTTCGTATCAAGGATAATTAATCGAACTTAATCGAAGAGGTAAAGCAATTACAAATTTTGACAATATCAAGTTGAAATTAGATCAATGATAGCTTGATTATGTATAAGTGCGGGTGGTTCTCTTTGCAAGAAGGAATAAATCGTATTTATCTTATAACCAAGGAAAGTACCTGCAAAGCCATAAATAAACAAAGGTACCATGGCGGGACATCGTCGATGCCATAAGTGAGATTCGTGCTTCTCTTGTTGCAAGCCGGTTTATCGTCCGGTGTTGTTATGGTTAAATTCTCTATAGTCTAAAACAACAAGCAGGTTTTTTTTACTGCGTAATGCGAGCATCGTAAAATTACCCGACTTTGCAGAATATTTAAAACCTCACGCTACATTTCTTTCAAGAAAATTTTAAACTTTCTTAGGTTTAATGAGAGTCATTATTCTTCTCCCTCTTTTGTTTTTATTTTTCAGAGAAGGAGAATCATCTTCTTTTTTCTACAGAAGATTTACTCCAATTTATAATCCTAAATCGTAATGATCACTATTACATACAGCAAGATGCATTTGTTATAATGATAAGAGGTTGCGTAATTACGTTGCAGGAGTAAGTGAGCAGGAATAACTATATTATCGCCCTTGTTAAGACGATGGAATAGAGTCGTAGCAATCAGCAGCAGAAATGTTTAAATTGACAAAGAAGTTATATTTGTACAGTGGTATTTTGTGATATTTTTATACCATTTCTTAATTGATTAACGCTAGAAAAGATACCTTTCTCTTAGTAGTTACCATTTTGTTATCATTATTAAATTCGTCCATACTAGATACAGTAGAGGCTTAATTTGTTCATCAATTGATAATTTCGATTGTTACCCTATTCATTACGAAACATCTTTCGTAATATGTAGCATAACATTGATTACGTTTCAATATGCTAGGATTAAAGCTACGTAAATGCTGATGATCGTGATAAATAGCGGAAAGCCTGTGTTGCTTCTCTGTTTTTTCTTGTGTGTTTTTAATGACCCAATTAAATTCTAAATATGCATTAATACGGGCCTTTTCCAATCATATAATCAATGAGGCTCACAATCAAGTTCACGGCTTGATACAATCCAGTGTCTCTTATTGAAGAGTAAATGAAGATTTTTATAGGAAGAATTTTTGTAATCCTGATATCTTCAATTGCGTTGATCGTCGTGAACCATTTTATTTAAATAAAAATAATAATAACAGTAATTTTTATTTCAAATAACGATACGAATATATATATACGTTAAACTAAATTGCAGCTAATAATATGAGAAACGCTGGTTTCATTCGCCTAGCAATATAAACATTGCGTGGAAAATAGAAATCACAGGGTATGCTTTTGTAGACATTAGTTCAAAATTATTATCAACAGTACACCGATTGACTTCTTCGTGAAACCTTGACTGATAAAATAAACCGAGTAATTAAATATTTTAAACGCAAAATAATGTACCTAACTTATATTAATTTTAATATTTGCGTTATACTACGTTTTAGTATTTTTGCCTTCTCTTTGGATTTTAAATTAAAATAGCGAGTATTAAAAATTAAAAGTTATATTACACAGGGCAGCCTTTAAATTGTTATTAAATCTTACTATACTCTAATTGGTGTTTTTCTAGCTACGGGTGAATCATATTGTTATATAAATTCCGAAATTAGTACAGCTAAAAGTTAAATGTTTGGATTAATTAAAAAAAAAATTGTTAATAATTCTCTATCAAACACCACTTTGTCATTCACTTACCACCTCAGTCATCTGTATTCCATTTTCAGGCATATTGAAATCTCTCTGTTCACGGATATAAGAAAATTAATTCTGTTTAAAATCAAAATATCCACTGGTCCACAGTCATGGAAAGCTCGTAACGATTCTCCAGGAACCGCGAAAAGAATAATGGAAGCTCCGCTTTGCAACCACGCGTCCACGTTAAGCCAACGTTTACGACGAACTGTATCAATAGGCGGGATCGCTCCCTAATTTATCACTAAATGGCTGCTTAGAAACCAGATATTGGTTGGTCTTGGATTCTCTTCAATTTTGACAACGGGGAAGATGGACGAAATTCACAACTAAAATCGCGACTAATCGGCGATAATAAAAACTGATAAAAATATGGCTGATCGTTGATTAAAAGATCGAATAGAATAGTGTCACGGGATAACCAATTTTCGATTGCGAATTTTAGAATTGCCGACTAACGTATTTTCGGACTAAATCAACCTGGGAAGTATTATACTTGTATCTTTTAATTTATGATTTAACGTGATGTGCGCAGATTATAAAATTAAATTGTTCTGAAGCGCACGTGTCAAATACTTGCCAGAGAATCTCGCGCGTCTAACTGCCTGTTGATAAAAATAATGTTATCTATAGTTTGGACAAGGGATTTAAACGATACAGATTTATATTACTACGAATTTTATTAAATAGACAATTAATTGGTACTGAATTAATTATTCAGTGGCTGATAACTTTTTTTAATTTATATTTCATTAATATCGGATACTTTTAGAATTTGAATTAAAATTTCATTAAATATATTGATCCATATCGAAGTGCAAATTGTAGAAGGTGTTACCTATAAAATGAAAGTTTAAAATCTAGATTGATATTTCTTGGAATTATTTTTGAAGAATTGTATAATATCATCTAATAAATAATTTAATAGATTACTCATAAAGATGCAAAATAGAAGTATATATTAAGGAATTAAAAGTATTCTTAAGGAATCAAAATTTTTGATATCCAAGAAATTTAATTTTGCCGCGAAAATGATGGGGGCGCCTGTATCATTGAAAACTATAGAATATGTATCCTCGATATTTATATAGTCAAAGCTGTGTATCATAACCTATCGTATTATTTCTTCTTCGTGTTGTGTATCGTAAGTACATCCCAATAGCCCATATTTCATGTGTCCTATGAAATTTTCTATAATATTGTAAAGAGATATAATAACCATTTAAAATGGATGATTTGGGCGAACCTATGGATGTAGAAATGGTCCCAGTTATTGATGACAGTAAGACTGTTGATCCTGACCAAACCAATGTAAAAACATTTAATTCAAACAATGTACAAGTATCAGAGGTAAAGAAATATTAAAAATAATCAATTTTAATGATCGATATACATCTTTTATAAACTTTCTCATTGTTGCTTTAATTTTAAATTTCATAATATAACGAATACTAATTCGTTCATTTCTTGCTTTAAGAAAGGATTACTTTACAATCTGAAATTATCATATTATATATGCGTTACGCTTCGAAATTAAAAATTAATGTAATGCATTTTTCTTGAACAGATACAGTTAGATAACCGTTACGAAAATCGTGGCGGAACTTTTATGACAGGTATAGATATATTCAGTAAAGAAGAAAAATTGAAAATGGAAGAGAGAGCTAAACGTTTTGGATTAACAGATAAAATAAAAAATAATCTAACAAATCAAGAACAAGATTTATATTCTAGGTGATGACACTAAGAGATATTAACATGACAGAGAACGTTCAATGAATCAGTAACTCTAATATATAACATAAGTTGTCTTAATTTTTAGTATGGGTATTGTAGAAGACAGTGAAAATACAAAAAATATCAGATTGAATGTAATACATATGAGAGGAACAGAAGAAATGAGTACCAAAGATGTTTTCAAATATTTTGAAGATTATGCCCCTGCTTCCATTGAATGGATCAATGATGTTTCATGTAAGAATAATTTTAGTTCAATATCTATATTAATAGAATTATACCAGTTTAAATATTACTTTTTCCAAAATACCAAACTTATGAATTTTTAATATATTAATTTAATCATTAATAATATATTAAGAAGAAAGAAAAATAGAAACAATTTATTAGTATGTAACATATTACAGGTAATGTGGTATGGTTAGACAATTTATCGGCAGCCAGAGCTATGTTGGGATTATCAAAAAAAATTGTGGGTTTAGAAAAGCAAAGAAGTACAAAAGCAGTTGATGATAATCCTGATGAAGAAAACAATGTAACTAACAGTGATTGTACCATTGAAATGGTAGATGACAATGAAACCATAAACACTACAAAGGATATGGATGACGACTACATAAGTGTCAAGGATATTAATTGTGCATTACCTCCTGGTTTATGGAGGAAGGGTATAGATTATCCTAAATCTAAGGCAATATTTCTTAGGTTTGCAACTAGAGCAGATAAAAAGCAACCTAATGCAGAAAAAATGAGTGAATATTATAAAAAATATGGAAACCCCAATTTTGGAGGTATTATTACTAATACCATAACAATATTTTACTCTAACATTAAATGTCTTTTTTCACTTTCAGGTATTAAAGGGATTTTGACTGAATCTCGAAAACGAATGTACAAACAAATTAGACAAAGTAAAAGAAGATTTAAAGAAGAGCCACAAGATGAAGTTAAAGATAGAAGACGCGTGAAAAATCCATGGGGTGCGTTATCGGAAAGTTGGGGTCTTAATGATGCTATAGAAAATGAGTTCAGCACCAAAAATGAACCTAGAGATCAAGGACGTAGTATAAAAGAAAGATTAGGCGTAAGATATCCTCAAAAGGAAACTACACACATTGAGGAACAACAGGGTACTTCAAGTAGTGATAGCGAAGATGAATGGTGTAAAAGAAGTAAGGTATTACGAATGCGAATGCATGCAGACGATGAAGAAGAAAAAATACACAAACGACGTGCGAAACTTCGGCAACAAGTCAGTAAATTTTATTACCGAAATAAATATTTCATAGTAATATAACTTATTTAATTTTTATACATGTTTGCAGACAATGTTAAACAATTTAAATAGAGGCAATGATTTACGATCGAGACTCGGCAAATCAAGAAAAGGAACGCAGTTCCGTGATGCAATTCAAGTAGTTGTAACGAATACAAATGCAACTAAATCGAATTCATTAAAATTGAATGATTCAGAGGTAGCAATAGTTAGAAGATTGATTTTAAAACGTAGAAACTTTGAAATATGAATATATTTATTTTATACAGGAGGAAGACGGTGAAATAATAGAAGACAATGAAAGTCAAGAAAAAGAAGAAGGTGAATGGCAAGGATCTGATGAAGAAGAGCAGGAAGAGGAAGAAGAAGATGAAGACAGTGAAGATAGTGATAAACCAGCAAAAGAAGTTCAAGGACCTAAGGGCAGTGTAATAAAAGTAGTTCAACACAAACCTCGTGTTGCTTCTACAGTGTGGGCGAGACTGAACAATGTAAAAAGCGAAATTATTGATAATTCTATCAAAGACAGGTAAGAATTTAAACAAGTTAATATTCTCTTTGTATAGATAACATTTGAGAATAAAATACACCTTTTAAAGGCAACCAAGAGTAAGAGATCTGAGAAGTACATTAAAAGGTGATCTTCGATCCCGAATTGGAAATCATACAAGAGGCCGCTCTCCTTTAAGGATAGAAGTGAAAAATGACAAATATACAGAAGGAAGTGAAACAGAATAATTGCTGATTAATCAAATGATTTGTCATAAAAACTTGAAACATGGTTGTGGTGTTATGTTTCAGTGGAACAATATGGTATGGTGCAAACTTTATAATTGGTGTATAAAAGTATAGAAAGTGCACTCATTACACCAAATCTCTTACAATTTCAATTAATTTATACATTCTCGTTTAAATTAATCTTGTATTAAATTGCACGAAGTCGAATTTTTATTGAGATTATATTTATCTTAAGATATATAAGAAGAAATTTCAATAATATACAGCTGGATCATGAAACATTAAATTTTAATTGACCAGATAAAAATTTTCTGTTTGAAATGCTTTAAGAGAATATATGATGGATAAATATTTATGATTATAGATCTTTTTATATCTTTTACTTGTATTATCCAATTATGAATGCGATTCTTATATTGATTTTCTAATACGACTGATTTGCACATTTTACATGTGTTAATAATGTATTTCAAGTTTCACTCTTCTGCTTTTAAAATGAGATAAAATACAAATGAATGTGTAATGGGTGCTTCCTGAATTGTATGTAAATATTATTTAGTATAAATAATAATAAGAAACAGATTTTCATTAATGCATACCGAAAAATAAGACATATTTTTAAATATTCGTTTGTACAGTTGAGATCTTTTGCTGAGAATCGTGCATTTTGTAATCATAATTCGAAAAAAATATTTTCGGCTACTTCGTAATGAATAGAACAATAAATATATACTTTATCGTACAAAAAGAAATTTTGCAAACGAATATTTAATCAATTGTACATCGAAAAAATACATAGTGATTTCACAGTTTTTTCCCTTTAAATTTCAATGGATGCATCAAATTTAAAAAAAGAAAACCAGTGAAAATTGAAAAAAGTACTCAACACGGTTGTAAATAAAAATAAAATTGTACGAGACTAATACCATATATGCGGAGCATTTAAAATATATTTTCCTTATGTATTTTATGACTAATGAAATATTTTGAGGTTTGTGATTTCTTAAATGTATGTATTAAAAGAAAAAAAAAAGATGATACAATTTCATAATGATAGTTAATCAGTCCTCTTTAACTGTATAATTAAATGATGAAGTTTTTGTTGTATGAAGAACAAAAACTTATCTGTAATTTTATTACATATCCAACAAGATGTAAAAGATAAAATAAGAAAATAACAGAATTACATTAATATTCTGTTTGAGTTCAGAAGAAATAGGGATAAGAATAATTGTGACATCGATTCCGAATAATTGACCAATAAAGCCGCTTTTATATTAGCACAATAATACTTCGAATAGTCATTTTAAAATACAATAATTGATAATTATGATTTCAGTACATATATATGTATAATATATGTATATATATATATTTATATATATATCATTTACACAAATAACAATTATTCGGAGAAATATTCGGCTGAAGTAACTTGAAAAAGAAAATAAGAAAAAAAAAGGAAGATTTATCATTCGAAGAACACAGTGGATTATCGGAATATTCTTTTAGCCGCATTCATAGGTCTCTAGGCTACTTTGATTTTCTACGTTAATTTAATCTCACTTTTGTACTATTTAACGTTTCAAATGAAAAGATTTTATTACGATTTATTTAAAAAGTAAGAAATTAAAACGTAAGAAAGTAATTATCGATAATAAATAAATAAATTTCGCTACAAATTCTCCAAACGATAGATTCTATGAATGCAGCTGGAGGCACGAGGTAATTTATGCATTAACAAACGAGATCCGATATTTTTGATACTATTAAAGCGTGTAATATTTTTTAACCTATGTGTTTATCTAAAATCGAGTGTATATCGAAAACCATTTGGTAACTGTATTCACTAACTGTGATTTAAATTTATTTAATATTACATCTATATTCTTATATGTTTCATCGTGTGTAAGATCTACTAATTTGTGTACTAGCCCTCACCAACTAATATCCATCTCTTTATTTGCTTCAGAATCAGAAATATCAATCTCGTTTGCTAAAAGGCAATCGTGCAAGATATCGAGGATCCCTTTCTTCTATCCTACATAAAAACTGTTGATGTATTTTCTAATTAATGCTTTTCCCTTCGTCAAGCCAATCGATAAACGCCATTTTCGCTTTGTCTGTTTTCTTTTGCATCTTCTTCTCATTTCTTTTTTTTTCTTTTTTTGTTCTTTTTGTTTTCTCATAAATGACGTATAACATTTAAAATCGATAGACGAAATATTTTTTAATATTCGGATATATAAGATATGAATCGGCAACAACAACAAATACACGCAACGTTTAAGTATTTTAGGCCTGATGATATTGATAATAATTCTATCAATGTATATTAAACGCTACAATCTATCGTTGCTCGCATTCCACTTGCATCCTGTGCCTCTTTCTTCGCGATAATGGTGTTCCAATGCTATTCATCTTTTCCATTCTTGTTTCAAACTGTTTTTGCGATTACATCAGTAGTGGATCATTAAGAATATCCGACAACGAGTTAAATTTGATGGAAGATCCTCAACACTAGCTAATTATTTCCATGAAATTTGTACGTTTGCACAAGGTACGATACTTGACACACGATCACAGCAAATGTACAATATTCCTTGCTCTTATTAATCGTCTTCAATCAAACATCGAATTCTCGTATAACGAGAAGAGAACAGACACGAACTCGAAACTTTATGGAATTTAAATGCACTGCAACTCTTTAATATACTTTAATACTTGACATTTGATACTGACTCGCCTTTCTTACGTTTACAAACGAATAGAAATATTTAAAGATTTGTCTCAACTCTAGATACACTAGTTACACGATAAATTGCAAAACTTACAAGTCAATATTTTTCCCCGTAATTTCACAATTTCATTCTCCAGTGCTGACTTGTAAGTTTTTCGAGTCAATTCTCACGCGTAAACGAGTTTGGAACACCGATATCGTCATGGTCAGCCAGCCGACTCGTTACAATGTCCCCTCGGGTCTCTCGAGGCAGCTCGTGAAAATTATTCGACAAACATCTCGCGGTTTGCTAATCGTTCGACGGTCGTAACTACTTTGAGACTCTGAATTAACGTCTTAAATACATAGATAGATTAGTTACGAAATTCGGACATATAGCAACTGTACACGCAGAAAGATTCGGACATATAAACGTCGGACCGATCAAAAATCAGTTTCACGTATAATGCTCGAGGGATTTTAAGCATCGAAGACAAAATCGAAATGTATACGAGGAGGGAAAGATTATATATGAATCATTTTTAGTCGTATTTCTATGAGAAATTAATGAAACTTCAAGGAAACGTTATCCCATTTTTCAATTTCTTTTTACCGATTTTCTTTTCAAAAATACCGATAAACGTGTTTCATCTTTTTGAGAATTTATTGCACAATTCGATAAAAGTAGCAGAGTGTGAAAATGTGAACAATAGTCGAAGCTTCTCGCAGACTCTATCGAAATCTTCCTTCCTGTATTCCCTCGTAAATAAATTCGTGCTCGAAACACGCGGAGATACTGACAATTTTGTCATTAATTATGTTAGTTACACTAGAGAAAGTTGACAGTTCGAGGAATTGCAAATTCACCGAAGAATGAAATTGAATAAATTCTCAGTATCGTCGGGCGTGTGCACGAACCGAAACATTTCGCATCGAGGATTTAATAAGAACAGCACATATATTTCGACGAATGAGTGTCCTCTTCGAAATTTCTCATACACGCGGAACAGAAACTTACGGAAAAATTTGTCTAACACAGAGAACGCAGGCGTAATCAGTTGATTGCTAATTTCCATTGATGAAATCATCGTTTAAAAATCCGAACGACGTCAACGATATAGTTACAGTCACAAGGACACGAACTGTAAAGAAACATTGCGTTAGATCCTACTCTGGAACGACGTCGTTAGGTACATGCTTTTCTAAAAAGCGACTTGGAACGAATTTCCTTCTTCCAACATCTAATTGCACGAGAAAAATCTTTCCTTCGAAATTTCCAATTAAGCTCTGATTTATCCGATTGTTACCTTCAACGAAAAATTTCATATCCTTATAAAAATTCAGAATTTTAAGTAACAAGCTATTAAGTAAAGTAAGTTATTAATCCTCCACTTCTGAATTCCTGAAATATCTCTTTGATTACCGCCAAGTATTAAATTCTTCTCCAGTGGATTGTTATTTTTCGCAAGGTTCTAGTTATAAGCAGCGACAAGGCTGAATCGATAATCCGATAAATCCTTCAAAGCTCTGCAAAGCATAAAATATGCCGAGAAATGGAAAAGGACACTCGTGGAGAGTAATACAACATCTTTCCTCTCTCTCTTCTTCGTTCTCTTCTTTTCAAGTAATTAGATCGCAAAAAAGGTGCTTGAATCTGGAGGCAATAAAGCGTTCTCATTATTTCCACGGATAACTTGTAACTTGAGGAAAACAAACGCATTGGCGCTTCTCTCGAGCGAATTATTACGAATAATATACAACATACCATCGACACGTGTTATTAATGAAGAATTATTTTATTAGATGCATCGAAGAACGTGAGATCTGATAGTCGAGGGAGGCAAATAGTGTTTCACACTGGGTCCTATTATGTTAACTCCTCTAACGTCTTTTTCATGTCTCATTCTCACTTGCATTCTCTCTTTCTCACACTTTATAACAAGACTCTATCGTTCCACTTGTTTTCCCGTCATTGTACATCAAGACTTTGATTTCGAAGACAAGAATAGTATCTGTTACTTTGTTCTTTAAATAAGTATCCCAAGCGTGTCCTCGCCATCTTGAAAATCATCCGATTGTCATTGAAAAACGATGAATACACTCGTTTCATGGAAAAACATTTGGTGTTTCCTCGATTAGATTTCCGGAATAGAAAAAGAAAGTAAATTGTTCGTGTCTTACTTGTGACTCGACATCTCTCGACTTCATTCTTACGATATTACAATCGGATAAGGTTCTTGTCTCTCATCGTCGATGACACGTTCGTGTACATAACTCGATTATTAATTTGTCCATTCGCCGCGTTACGATTCTCTCCGGGGATGGTATATCAGCTAGGGATGTATTTTATATTGAATATAAAAAAAGGATTATTCGAATATACGTGTACATTTAGAGCAAAAAATACGAATCGAAACAAGAACGTTTATATTGTTATTACTTTAACTCACATGGTGAGTGTTTGAATCCAGATAAGTGGATTCTGAGACGAACCAAGGCGGACTATCTGCTTTTTTAAATGAAAAAAAAGCATAAAGAAAAGACGAAATAGAATTAAGCTATTTGTGAACGACAAGCAACTGTTCCTCGGGATATTTGTTATTAAGAAAGGAAACCTGCAAAACGAGGAACAAAACAGGGCAATACTCTAAAGTGTAAAAAGATCGGAAATGTAAAAATAGAAAAGTTCACAGATAGTTCATTCAAACAGACACCATGCGCTCCATCGCACAAGAATGGCAGTATCAGTGTAATAATACCTGTAGATAGTGAAACAAGATGTAACTAAACGACGTAGAAGAACTGGAAGCTGCGTCGAATACAATTAACTATGAATTGAACGTTTTTCTTGAGCATCTTGCTCTTTCTTACTTTCTCACTCTCCCATCTATTCATTCTCTCATGTGCACGCATTCGCTCATCGTTTCATCTATTTCTTTTTGCCCATTTTCTTCTCACTTTCCCTCGTTCGCCTATAAGCTAAATCTGATAGAGGCAGGACAATTTCTGCGAGGTACATAACTACCATAAGAATGACACTGAATATAATCTAATAATAATAATAATAATAATAATAATAATAAAAACAATAACAATAAAATTAATAATAGTAGTAATAATAATA